CAGTCACTGCACTCTGTATTCTCCTCACCACCATCCCCATACTCTCAGGGGAGAGAGAGTGTGAACACACTCCCATGTGCTGTGGCTTGAGGAAGAGGATCGTGCAAACCTTTCAGTCTCTCCATTAGGGTTTAGATAAAGCCTCCTGTAGGCATCCAGCACAGCTTCTCTGATGCCCGGTTCCTTTGACCATATGAGGGGGAGCATTTGGCGAACTCCAAGAACTGCCTGAGGGATGCCAAACTGAGAAACGACCACAAAGAATTCAATAGCTTCTTGTACCACTGGAAAAGAAGAAAAGGACGAGGAAGGCAGTTTTATACTGCCGCACAAAAAACTTTTTGGAAAGTACATTTCTGGACCTGAAGCTGCTTATAAAACATTTACAACTGGCTGCCTTATTGAAACGACCTACTTATTTATTTATTTATTTAATATCCCGCCTATCTGGTCGGGTCAGGACCACTCTAGGCGGCTAGTTCCTACTTATGTTCCTGGTTGCATGTACATGCTAGGGTTGAGTCACTCCCCGGTCCTTCTATTAACCAATGCTTACTTGTAACCAAGGTATTTCCCACTGTTGCATGTTTATCTTCCAGACAGATCATTCGGTCCCCCTCTTCTACAAAACGTGACATTTGAGAAGCAGTAAAAGATGCCTCTTAAACGCAGGTAAGTACATTAAGCCCCTGTGTGTATTTTGTACACTAGGTTACTCATGCAATGGCATCAGTGTTGTGGAAGATCAAGGGCAGAAAATGCTGTATGTAGGAAGCACACTGCCTAGCTAGCCCTACCAGCATTACCACACACGTGCCTTTGAGGCTCTCCAGTCGGAAGCTATCCTCTCAGTCAGTTCTTATCTTCTCAACTGGGCCCTTTCTGGAGGGGCAAGAGCACAGCGTAGCGGGGCTATCCAGCTCCTCCAAGTCTTGGGCATTCAGTGGAAAAGCCTAACATATCAAGTGACCATAATGAGTAGGGCTAAGCGAGAGAGAGGGTCTTAGTGAACGTTCCAGTTTCTTACATAGGAAAGTCTGAGAAAAAGTGGAGGTGAAACCATGACATGATGTGAATTGTCCTCTCCATTTTGATGCTCTTCCTGTGAGTCTGTAAAGGTAAAGGTTCCCCTTGACAATTTTTGTCCAGTCGTGTTCGACCCTAGGGGGCGGTGCTCATCCCCGTTTCCAAGCCATAGAGCCAGTGTTTTGTCCGAAGACAATCTTCCGTGGTCACATGGCCAGTGCGACTTAGACACGGAATGCTGTTACCTTCCCACCGAAGTGGTCCCTATTTATGTACTTGCATGTGCATGCTTTCGAACCGCTAGGTTGGCGGGAGCTGGGACAAGCGATGGGCGCTCACTCCGTCGCGTGGATTTGATCTTATGACTGCTTGGTCTTCTGACCCTGCAGCACAGGCTTCTGCGGTTTAGCCCGCAGTACCACGTCCCATTGTGAGTCTGTGGAGCTTCTCAAATCTTAGAAGTGGATTTTTGGAGGTGCAAGTGTCGCCTTACTATTTGTCTCACTTTTCAAATTTTCCCTTCAGTGGTTTAGGTCTCTGGCTGTGGACCCAGAGGTTAAGGAGTTCAATTCCTCATGGTGCCTCCTTGAAAGGGGCTGGGCTGGATGATCCAGAGGGTCCCTTTCCAGCTCTGCTGTTCTAGGGTAATGGTTCTAAATGCCATGACTACCCCAAACCCTTCTTTACACCTACCAGAGACTGAATTTTCATACATCAGTTTGGAGACCATGCTCAAGGCTTCGGTGATTTTTGCAGAGAAGTTGTAGGCGTCCTGTAAATATTGTACCAGCATCTCTTGCTTCACCAACTCTGCTGGCGCCTGCTCCTCCTCTAGAACGTGCTCTTTGTTCCCACCATTCTGTACATCATCTGTCGATTCCTGAACACTGGTTTCAGCCTGGGAACCTGCACCGTGGGAACAAGAACGGAAGATATCCACTTTACTAATTTCCTGATCTTGTGTTGAGTCATAACAAAGCAAAGCATGTACAAACCTGCATGTTTTGCAAGTAAAGTCTCCTGAATGGTGTTTTTAGACAGAAAAGAACTGGCAACCTTCTAAGTGTATTGGTGGCAGCCTCTTTAGTTTCATCATGCCTAAAACTGGGGAGTGTGTGTGCATGTGTGTTAATCAAGTGTATTTACTTCATGAGGAGCGGAGGAGGCGGAACAGACAAATTCCCTGTAGCTTACGTTCTTCTGCTCTCAGGGCTCAAGTGTGTGTGTGTGTGTGTGCGCGCGCGTGTTAATCAAGTGTAATTTCTTCACAAGGAGTGAAGGCAGCAGAACAGACAAATCCCCTGTAGCTTACATTCTTCTGCTCTCAGGGCTCAAGGCACTTTTCTCTCACGGTGCCTCTCTGGTGATACAGGAACTGGGCTAAGAGAAAATGGTGGCTGGCTAACTAGAGAGGTCAGGGGGCATGGAAAGTAAGGCTCGGTGTTGAACACTCTTCCATTCCTTTAAGCTCTGAAATGTTTTTTCTCACACTATCACTTTTACACACAAAGACAGCAGACAACAGTGATTAAACAAAGAGAGCCACTACTGCCAATAGGAAGATCACCTTTTGTTTCCATGTGAACCCACAAAGTGACAAAATGGAGTACCAGCAGATGGTTACCTAGGTAGAATGTTCTCAGTGTGCTCAGGATAAAACCTTCATCATCACTCTCTCTTCTTGGACTGGTGAAGGGTTCCTCTCCTTGGAAGCGGTGGATCCCTTCTTGTGTCAGACGGATGGCACTCCTGCATTAAGAGGGTGTAGGGTACCGTGAGACATGATCTTTTCTTTACATATCCTTCCAATGTATCCACAGGAGGTGCAAGGTACCTCAAGGATCATTTACAGGCTAGTAAGATAAAAGAAGCAGATCCCAAGACAAGCCCTCCTACTGCAGTCAGAGGCACCCATAATGTTATGTGCCATGATCTTTGCCATGGTTTTCCATGGCTGAGTGGGATTTGAACCCAGGTCTTCTAAGTCCTATATATCACACTATATACTGCACTACAAAGCTCTCTTCACTCACTTGTAATTGGATTTTCTCAAGAGCTGGACAACACTTTTGGATAACTGTGCTGAGTCCTCCATCTCAAGCTGATTCTGGTTCAGTTCTTCTTCCTGTTCCTGTGAGGAAAGACAACTCTTCAAAGTCGCCTGGATCTCTGGCTGCATTGCTTCCCATTCCTCCTCTGGGGAAATCACCACTGCGGTGGAATGAAAGGCAAAGTAAGTTGCAACTTTCTTCCACTGTGATAAAGAACATTTCGTGGAGTCTTTGAACCCTAAAAATCCAGGAAATATAGTGTTTCTGCAGTGAACTCTCTGACAAACTAGGAGGTTGGACACCAAACATTCCAGGAACTAATGACTCAGAGAGTGCTTATTACTTTCGATAGAAGCTACTGGTATGGAGAAAAGAACATTGGTACTTAGTGTGGAACTTCCTTTCTTGTCCTTCCTACTCACTTCCACAGGCAGAAATGACCAGTCAGTCAGGTAGCACCTCCGTTTCCCTTCAAAGAGAGGAAGGGAAAGTTGTTCAGGCCAGCTGTCAGAAAGAAAAAGGAATAAAACAAGGCAGAACAGTAGAGAGAGTAAAAGACAGACTTGGTAGGTGCCCCTCCGACAATTTGATTGTAAGAGATTCAAGGGAGAGGAAGGATATCCTCCTTCTGCTACATAAAACAGCTGTCAGAAAGAAAAAGGAATAAAACAAAGCAGAACAGTAGAGAGAGAAAAAGACAGACTTGGTACTGTAGGTGCCCCTCCAACAATTTGATCGTAAGAGATTCAAGGGAGAGGAAGGATGTCCTCCTTCTGCTACATAAAATGACTATTTCATAGTGAATACCAACATTTCTTTGTTCTGCAGTAGAGGAGGACATCCTCACGAGATGTGATTTACTGAACCAAATTGTCTCGAGATTGGAATGAGGAGGGGTTCATCCACCAACCACAGGTACAAAACCATTCAAGTTCGGTTTAGGAGAGGTTCACCACCTGCTGAAGGACTTTTCTCCAAAATGCCACCTCAGTCAAGGCAAAGTGTTCCGTGGACAAGGCTGGATTTGACCTTGGGGGCCATGGGGCACTTCAGCTTCGGGGAACTTATGTGTACACAGGAAGGTTTAATGGAGAATACATGTATACATTTAAATATATGCCAGGAAAACTCCAAGCAGATTTTAGGTAGAAAATTACAAAAAACATAGTTCTGCTGCTACATCCCTTTAGTTTCCATGGATAACAATGGTTAAATCAACAATTTACACAACCAAAATTAAACTCTGAACCTGTCAATGCAAAAGTTTTAAGTTTATCTAGGTCAAGGAAAGGCCCTAAACACATGCTTATTCTGCTTAACAGTTAACTTTTACAGATGACTGCAGGCAAAGTACTGTTTCCCAATATCAATTTTAATAAAAGAAACTATTTCGAAAATTATAATATTTTTGTAAGAGGGGCCCCCCTTCCGGCAGGGCAATTGCCCCCTTATAAATCCAGCAGTGTCCATGGAGTAATGCCTGACAAAGCAATAGTGCACCTTCCACGTGGCTGCCTTGCAAATTTCTTCCAGAGAATCCCTGATACTAAATGCGGCTGATGTGGCCACACTCCTAGTAGTGTAAGCAGTGATCCATCCGAAGCAGTCTGGAACCAGAATTCTAAAAGCATACACTGATGCAAACTTTTAGTCATCTAGAGAGTTTGCATAGAAACTCCTTTTTCCATGGTAGACAGTTAACTTGGAAGAAAAAAGTGCTCCTGGTCAGTTGAAAGAGAGTTCACAGAACAGGAATTCATCCTGTGCTAGATGGGGTGACACTCCCCCTGAAAACAAAGGTGTGCTGCTTGGGTGTGCTCCTGGATTTCTCTCTGAGCCTGGACACCTAGGTTTTGGCAGTGCCTGGAAGGGCATGTGCACAATTAAGACTAGTTTACTGTATATATATATGTTTTAAAGAAGAGGAAAGACTGAAGGAAGAAGAGGCAAGGTGAAGACAAGGTTGAGATAACCCAGTGCAAAGTGGAGGCAAAAACTGAAACTGAACCAGCCAGAGTGGGTCCCCGTCTCTTAAAGGGGTTCTAGTGCCACCTGATTGGCTGATCAGTTCTGCCTCAGGAAGCAAGGAGGAGGAACGATCTGCCACCTGAGGATGCCCTCCTTCGTTACAGGAAAAGGAAAATTATCTGTTATCTGTTTTCCAGCATAACCTGCCTGGCTTTCACAATGCCACAATAAACCTCTTCCCAAAGCACATACACAACAGCCAGTGGATCAGCACAGCAAACAAGTCCAAATGCTTGACTCTGAAGCAGCCCAGTTTTCCTGACTGAAACCTCAGTTACCTTAATGCATGAGAAGACAAATCAGCACGACAATCACAGTCAACTTATTATATATGCACTAGGCTTGCCTTTAAGCAGTTTGTTGACAGTGTACATAAAGAGTTGACTCACTGTTATTCTGTGCTGTCAAGTTGCTTCTCACTTATGGTGACCCTAACAAGGTTTTCAGCATATACGAGATACTCAGGGAAGAGTTTACTATTGCCACCACTGGGTAAATTTTCATAACTGAGTAGGGATTTGAACCCTTCTCCTGAGTCCTAGTCTGACACTCTATCCACTACACATGGACAATTTAAATATATTAAATGTGGAATGTATGATACGCTGAAGACCAGAGACCTTTTGTTGGCTTCTGCCTTTCTGTTTGCATCATTCCCAAAACCAGCCCCACCCCTGCCATTCTATTCCTCATCATCCCAATTTGGGTGGCACTGGGACTTAACTCATTCCTGGATGGCACTTCCCCTACAAAAAGAGAAGGCACATTACCGGCTGTGGTTCTGCGTTTTTTCATTTCCTGAAGTTTCTGCCTTTCTTTTGCAAGTAGATCAGTTAACTCTGTGCAGCTCAGCTGTGGATATAAAGAGAATTCTTAATATTTTTCATTCCCCAACAGAATCTTCTTTCCTCTGTGGCCATGTTTTATCTCCCAGTCCTATGCAATATTACATAGAACACTGCAAAAATCAGACCAAGCTCCACCTCCTTGAGCAAATGCTGATCAAATGTGTTTCTGTTGGTAAGGAACCTCTTAAGGGGGGGGCAGGGTGAGTCTCTAAAGGGTCCTGGAACACACTCTAGGACCCTTTGGAGGCTCACCCGCCCCCCCCACCAGGCTAGAGGGGGTGAAATTGCCACCTTCTGGGGCTCTTCTGAAGCTTTCCAAGCCTCAAAACAGCTCCAGAAGGTGGTGATTTTGCCCCCTCTGGCCCTCAGGGGGGGCTGGGTGAGCCTCCAAATGGTCCTAGGTTGTGTTCCATAAGACGGGCCTCTCCATAAGGCTCACCAATTTTTAGGAGAAGAAAACAGATTTTTTTTCCTGTTTTCTTCTCCTAAAAATTTGGTGCGTCTTATGGAGAGGTGCGTCTTATGGAGCGAAAAATACAGTATATATGCACTAGGCTTGCCTTTAAGCAGTTTGTTGACAGTGTAAAGAGATGACTCACTGTCATTCTGTGCTGTCAAGTTGCTTCTCACTTATGGTGACCCTAACAGGGTTTTCAGCATATACGAGATACTCGGGGAAGACTTTACTATTGGCACCACTGGGTAAATTTCCATAATTGAGCAGGGATTTGAACCTACCTCTTCCGAGTCCTAGTCTGACATTCTATCCACTACACATGGACAATTTAAATATATTAAATGTGGAATGTATGATACGCTGAAGACCAGAGACCTTTTGTTGGCTTCTGCCTTTCTGTTTGCATCATTCCCAAAACCAGCCCCACCCCTGCCATTCTATTCCTCATCATCCCAATTTGGGTGGCACTGGGACTTAACTCATTCCTGGATGGCACTTCCCCTACAAAAAGAGAAGGCACATTACCGGCTGTGGTTCTGCGTTTTTTCATTTCCTGAAGTTTCTGCCTTTCTTTTGCAAGTAGATCAGTTAACTCTGTGCAGCTCAGCTGTGGATATAAAGAGAATTCTTAATATTTTTCATTCCCCAACAGAATCTTCTTTCCTCTGTGGCCATGTTTTATCTCCCAGTCCTATGCAATATTACATAGAACACTGCAAAAATCAGACCAAGCTCCACCTCCTTGAGCAAATGCTGATCAAATGTGTTTCTGTTGGTAAGGAACCTCTTAAGAAACACAGCTAATTCTGAAGATCATCCTAGAGGAGGGGTCACGGAACGTTTTTACCTTTTACACCCCCCAAAATTTATATACGCTGACATTACTCCCTTGATTTGAAAGGAAGGAAATCATACATTATTTGAATTAAAAATATTATTCAATCTACACAGGCTGTGTACCGAACTAGCAGGATATATCATCAGTATCAATGGCTGCCAGATTACATACCGGACTAGCAGGATGCATCAAATTTAATAAAGATGTGCACTATTTTTGCTGGAGCACATTGCACTCCAGCCATGGCATGGTATAGGGAGTAGTAAGGTGTCCAACATGCCTAGCAAGTTGCATCAAATTTTTGCTATCTTGCAGAGGATTTAATCATCAGTGGCTGCCAGAGTGGTTTTAGCTATGATGTGCTTGCTAGAAACAGCCAAGGCAGAGTTGGGGGGGGGGCTTTTCGTGCCACTTTAATCATTCTGTTTGGTGTGCAAAAAATGTTACGGCTGGTTCAGACATTTTATACTCTGTTCTGCCTGGATCCCAATTGAGAAAATTATAGTGGTGCTTAATAAAAAGAAATATCGCCCACAAAGCCTGTGGGTGTTGAGGTTACTGTGTGTGTATTGAGGCAATAGTCCTTGGCTTCAGTTTTTTGATTCGGATTGCTAGAAAAGCAGAACTGGAAAGCGTGTCGGTGTGCGCGCAATGAATGGAAATAATTTTGATTTGCACCCACTGGGGCACAGTTGTCTCACCTTGGCTTCAGAGTGCTGGCCTCGATTCCACATGCATCGGCAAAATACAGCCTGGATTCAGGTGGGGAAATCACTACCTCACAATGACCGTTAAAGATGCCTTTTCTCCTAATTCAAAATATTAGCAAGAGGCGCTGGAAGAAGTAAATTCCTGGTTGGTTCAGTCCAAACACTGTGTGTGGAGGTTTTTCCAGTTTCCCCACAATGGACGGAAACCAGTACGGCACGGTCCCGATGTGTCCAATTATTGTCTTCTTTTTGTGAAGAGGCTGGACATGAAGGTACGCCATTAAGGCTGGCTGGGATTAAATGGAGATCCCTGGTTCGGAAAAGCAAAATAGCTTGAGAACTCCGGAGAAAGTTGTCCAGGGAAAACCAGAGGTACTCCGCCGAGGAGATTTCCAGCGCATTTGGACAGGAGGCCGGGTTGAGGCTGAAAGGGCGAAGCGTGGTGATGTCTCTGAGACAAGATGTAGTTTGCTCGGCTTGCCATTAAGTTGACAGAACAGGAGTCTAAGCGGTCAAGGGCGGAGAGGCCGCAAGGCACGGCTGAAGCCAACATCGTGGTCGTGATGTGTTGGTGGCGGCTGCACGGAGCGTCTTCTTCTGACTGTCTGTGGATCTCTGGAGACATCATAGCCTGATGGGAGGAGAACCAAGAGAAGGCACCGGGGTGATGATGGCCCAAGAAAGCTGAGGAGGACCCACAGAGAGGCGGCAACGGCCAGCAAAGCGACCCGGAAAACGTCACCTCAGCAGAAGCCAGCCCACCTCCTCTTCTGAAAGCCAACTTGGCCCGGGATCCGGGGGACCTCCTCCTAAGTTTGCCGGTGACCCCTACGATGAAGACGTCCTCGCTGGAAGGACCCAACATCCAGTAGTTGCCCTTCCCGGGGTCGTCGTAGTGCCGGGGCACCTTCACGAAGCATTTGTTCAGGCTGATTCTTGGACTACAATTCCCAGCATAGGTAGTGGTGAAGGGTTCTGGGAATTGTAGCCCAAGGACCCAAAATTGGGAATCACTGCCCACTTATGCAACGGCTACTCATCCTGTTCTTCATGCGTAAAGGAATAGAAGAAAAAATTAAGCCAGCAAGTGTGAGCTAGGATATAACTTATGTCCCCTGCGCTGAACAGAAAAATGCATCTCCATTGTGCTGAACAGAAAAAAAAAGTGACGTTCTTTACCAAAGGAAAAAAGAGATGAATGGTTGGTTTTGGGTGGGATATCCAGATGAAGCTTTTTACTACTGCTCTGGTCTGTATCGTATGCTGCACTTCCTACAGCTTCACTGTGTTTTATGTTTTTGAATGACTATACTTTCCAGCTGATGTGTTCATGGGCAGGAACCAAATTTGAGAGGGAGGGTGTCTACTGGCACAAGAGAAGGTGAAGTGTAGGTGTACCATTTACACACAAACACAAACACAAACACACACACACACACACACACAGAGAGAGAGAGAGAGAGAGAGACACGCGCGCACACACACACACAATTATCAAGTGTTTACCTTACAGGAGAAAGGATTGTTGGAAAGGAAGGCAGCCAGCAGCTGAATAGCATTCTTAACAACAGTTACTGATTTGTCCTGTAGGCGACCCACAGCAAGGCACACGACAGCCTGGAAACAAGTTAAAGGCAGAGCCTATGGCAAGGAAGGAAGAGTCAAAACTGTTACCAAAGTAGAAGTAATAAGCAAAAACATTTAGCAAGACCAATACCACCATGCCTTGGCTTTCCACCTTGATCAGCCAGTAGTGAAATCTTTACTGGAAAACATGCTCCTTCGAGACACAGAAAGACTTCAGACACACTATTCAAAAATGTATTACTTGCTCTTGAGTTTCTGTGAACTAATTTTGCCAAAGGTCAAGGGAGGGACCCAGCCTTACTTGGCTTAAACTTCATTGTCCATTCTTTGTTAGCAACGTCCATGTGGGGTTGACTGACCTGCACTCCTCAAACAGCTGGATTTGGCTTACTGATCCCTCATCTAGATTCTTTTTTTCCTTACAAGTTATGAACTAGATTGAGAGGAAATAGAAGGTGACACCTCTTTGAAATATGTGGGACTTCACATGTGAGTTGCAGCAACAGCGCCACCATCAAATTCTTTCTTCACAGTTTTGATTAAGTGCAAAGTAGAGTGATTGAGGCAGACGCCTAGTGTGGAAGCTCCTCTAAACATTATGCAAGTTATTTCTCCATTGAAACTAGACTTTGTACCCACCCCACACTGCGTTAGGAAGTTGAAGGCCAGCCACCAACAACAAACTATTCACTTTGCCCCAAACTCACTTTTTGTTGCACAATTCGGGTGAAAAGCTGCAGCACACGGCTGCGCACAAAGCCATGGACATCGCACGTGTGTGCCTGGAGAGTGTCCAAGAACTGATCCCTTGTGCTTCTGGCGCTTTCTTCGAGTTGCTCTCCATTTAGGACCTGCAGCAGCACTTCAGCCATTGCAGTCAAAATGGCATTACGCATCCCATAGCTCTGAAGGACAGCAATGCAAAGAAAAGAACTTTTTTAAATGGTTCCCAGATCTTTCAGCAAGCCGAAGAGGACAAGAGGCTCAGGAGCCAAGTGTCCCAAGGAACATCCACCCTGACTTACAAGGACTTCTCCAACAGTCCTGCATCCAATGGGCCAGAGCACAGCAGCCACTTGGTGCCAGGTGGGGACTAATGGTTGTGGGTTGCCAAATGCTGCTGGTAAGAGGCCATCCAAATTATGCTGCTGATTAAATACTTGACTGATATTGGTGAGTCATCGCTCAAGAGGTCCAATTCAATAAATTAAGATGTTTACCCCTGCTTTTCCAAAGAGCTGAACAAGCACTGGCACAGTCTCACAACCCTGGTGTTCAACCTTCCATCTTGATCTAAGTTGAGTTTACTCAGGAGAAAGAAACCCCACCCCCACCCCGGAATTCAATACTATTAACGTCTAAGTAAGCACGAGCAGAACTAACAGGCAGCTTCATTAACTGAGAATCACAAAGCTTGTATTTAGGCCAGGCCTTGTAAAAGCTGATTTTTCCATTCCTGCACAGAGTACACAATTATAATTTAAGATAAAGAAAAATGCTAGATGCTTATTACTAGAAGGAGGGTTTCCAGGTCATGTCATCTCTTTTCTGCTGCCTGTGTTTGAACTTATAAGTGGGCTTGGAAATGTTTATGAGTAATCTGGTAAGAAAGGCCAGATTACTCGTAAACATGTTGAAAATTGCTTGCGGGTTCAAGTACAGGTTGCAGAGAATATATGAAACGTCACAGAAATCTTCCCCCTACTTATTACTTTGAATCATCAAGCGAACTGATATGGTTCTAAGCCTACAAAGATGCAACAACAGAAAGAGCAAACAGGCAAAACAACAGAAGACACGCCGCTTCAAAACACAGAAAGCTTAAGGAATATAGAAGGAGGCTTTTCTCTTCTCTTTTCTGGTCAAAGAAACAGATCAGGTACAAGTCCTCTCAAACACGTTCAAGTTCTCAGGTCGAAGGAAAGCAGCCAGTAATATAATATTAATAATATCTTACAGGATCCCTGTTAAAACAGTACCTCTCCATCCAGGTGATGAACCAGGACGCTCATGTTGGCCAACACAATGGCTGGCATTTGTTCAGCTAGTTCTGTAAGGAAGGCAGCATAGCCCTTCATTCCTGAGGCATCCCGGGCCAGGTCTTGAGGGCACTTCTGTCCAATCTCCCTGCACGATGAACCAAGAGTCAGTGGCCAAAGCAGCCAAAGATTGTGGGGATGAGGATAGAAGAGTGTCTCTTACCTTAATAACTCCCCAACAATGCTCTTCATACCATACTCCTTGATCCAGACACTCACAGCTTCTACAAACACTGGGGCCACATGCTCAAAGTGCTGAAGCATTTGTGTGACCTTCAGAGTGGCACCTACCAAAGACACCAGTGGTAAAAAAGAAGACTGGCTTTCAATTGGAATCCTACTGCCAACTTGCACCAACATTAAGGAAATCACATCTGTCTCAGCAACACATCAATGCCCTTTAATTTGTTGCTAGGACTTTACACAATTTCCCTTACACAAGTGCAAATCAGTACCGTGTTTCCCTGAAGATAAAACAGAGTCTTATATTAATTTTTGCTCCAAAAAACGCAGCAGGGCTTATTTTCAGGGTACGATTTACTTTTTTCATGCACAACAATCTACATTTATTCAAATACAGTCATGTCATCTTCTGTTTGCTGCACAAAGGTGGAGGGTGGGGTTTCACTTAACTAGGGCTTATTTTCAGGTTAGGTCTTATTTTCGGAAAAACAGGGTAATAGGATTCTGGCCAACGGGAGGGCTGATTTAAGTTAGGAGTTATTGTGTAGCAAGAGCTAGACTACATCATGCCAAACATTGAAACAGCTTTGAGAGAGACTAGCAGACTTACTGAGCATATGGTCATAACGTCGCAAAGCAACACCTAGTAGATGGATTGCTGCCTCTCGTGTAGATCGATGTCTCTGGTGCCCAATGGTAGGATTTTCCAGGATGCGGTAACAGCTGCTAGTCACTAAACTGAAGGAGAAATCAAAACAGCAATTGCAACATGTGTTCCTAAACACATGGATTTGATTTAAATACCCACTGAAATGAGAACTCAGATAGACTTACTTTAATCATGTGATTTTCTCCTTCCCACTACACTTTCCCTTGATCTAACCTTCTAACCTCAGTATCTATTTTACACAACTTACAGGGGTTTTTTTTTGTCAAAAAAGCCATATTATATATTTCAAAAGCATTTGTCTTTAAAATGCCTGCAATTCACATGTGTCACTGGATATGACAACTTCATTATCCTTTTGTTTGTTTTTGGTTTTGCACAGTTAATGGTAAAACAGCTGGTTGAATGAGTGAGTGCTTGGGTTGATTGACAGGTGACTGTTGAATAAGTGGCAGCTGGGCCTGTTATGATAGTTGGAAATTGGGTAAAAGCATGCCTCCATGGAACTCTGCTGTGATTTAGCTGCTCTCCCGAGAGTGTGTGTGTGTGTGTTTTTAGGATGCTAAACAGAGATAAACAGGAATGGACAGGATGATGAACTTTAGTTAAGACAGAGATTGGATTTTGAAAACTGTCAGGATAAGGCTTAGATAATGTCAAGATGAAGAGGGATATGTGCTACAATTAATAAAATCTGACCTAGTTTATGTGTGTGTGTGTGTTTTTAGGATGCTAAACAGAGATAAACAGGAATGGACAGGATGATGAACTTTAGTTAAGACAGAGATTGGATTTTGAAAACTGTCAGGATAAGGCTTAGATAATGTCAAGATGAAGAGGGATATGTGCTACAATTAATAAAATGTGACCTAGTTTAGGTGTATGTGTCTATCTACCTATCTATCTAGAGAGAAAGAGACAAAAAATGAGCACTAAATAGGCTAAATTTTACTTTTTTCCCCAAGTTTTAAAATTAGGGTGTAACCTGTACAGTGGTGCCTCACAAGACGATTTTAATTCGTTCCATGGAAATCGCTGTCTTGCAAAAACATTGTCTTGTGAAACCCAGTTCCCCACTGGAATGCACTGAAATCTATTTAATGCGTTCCAATTGGGGAAAAATCACTGTCTTGCAAAAATTATCCATAGATAGAAGATATCGTCTTGCAAAACACAGTTCCCCATACCATCTTGGGGAAAAGCAATCCCCTCACCTGCACTGTCTTTGAAAATTCAAGGGGTCTTAGATGGCCTTACCCCTCTTTCTCTCACTAGCAACAAAGAAAGAGGATTAAAGGAGTCAAAGCAGCCACCTGGCTCCTGACAATGGTAACTCCACTTGCCCTGATCCTTTAACACAGAGGGAAAAAAAAGAGAAATAATTGAATATAAAATATCATCAAGACTTGCTGCCTTTGAAATAGGTCCTGATGAGGAGAAAGAGAGATGAAAAGGAATTTAGAAAAACTAGGGCTAATCACAAGTGCAATCTTCCTTTAACACAAATTATGCAGTTGAGTTCCCCACATTTGGGGAAATCACAGGGATCATTAGCACACCCAAAGTGCAATGGATGAGCCTCCCCTCCAGCATAGCCATTTTTATGACATGGTATTTCCCCTGCAAGGTATGACTTGAAATGGCCCTTGCATCTCCTACCCTTCTGTCCCGTAACCCCCCAAGGCATGGTGACCTCCTGGCTGCACCTCCCACTCAGTACAGGGCTGCACAGCCCCAGTCCCGCCAGAGGCCAAGAGAGCTCCTCATTGTTTTGGGGTGCCCTGCGGGACCCCCATCAGGGGCTAAGTGTTCCTCCCACAATCCTCTAGTGCACAGGTATTATTCTTGGCCAAAGAAGCTGGTTTGGATGCAACACAACATCAGTTTTTAGGGTGACCACATCCAAAGTCAAAATAGCCATAACAACTTCCAGTTTACCATTATGAAATATCTTTATTGTCTGATCTCCCAAAGTTAAGAAATGTATGGCTAAAGACCAGCATATTTAAAGACAACAAAAATCAGATTTTCAAAATACTGTGAAATGTTTTTGTTTAAAATAAATGCTCTTCCATGTTGTTAGTAATAAATGTGCCATAGTTTAATGATCTATGAATAGAAATTCTATGTCTCTTTTATGAGAAATGTATTTGCATAATTGATTTTAGTGTAACAGGGCACAGAAAATCTAGATGGGATTATTGTTAGCATCAGTCTTGAGGGTTTGAAGGAATGCCCACAATGTTAATATGTGTTTTTGTGACAACAGAAGAAGGAACTGTCTTCCTTCAGAAATAATGCATACGTAACAAAATATGTGCAAAAAGTAGCAGTAAGAGATTATAATAGATTAATTACGAAAGATTGAAGTCACAGCAGTAGAAACAGGTTATAGAGAGAGATACCTTATGCTAATACCTGTGCACTAGAGGATTGTGGGAGGAACGCTTAGCCCCTGATGGGGGTCCTGCAGTGTATTCCATTTTATTGCAAGCCTCCAAGAATTACTAATTCCAAGCATTTTCTCCTGGGCTTCAGATCTCTTTGTTAGCCCTATGGTTCCGTCTCCTTGCAAATGACTGATTTCTATCAGTTTCGCGCCAGGGAAATAAAGATGTCTGAAAAACAGCTTCCAATACCCTTACCTGACAAATTCTTCCTCCACGACCAAGCCGTTCCACAGACGATGAAGGTCCAGCTGAAGTAATTGCGTCAGCAGCTGCAAGACTGACTGTCTTTCGTCCTCCCACAGAAATCCTTTAGCCTGGCTCTTCTTGCTCTGTGGGGCAAATGGAAAACATCCCCTTCAAAAAAGTATGAGATAACAGAACATACTGGGTACAGGCATCCCTCTTCAGAAATTAGGTTCCACACATTCAAAACACACCAGTGCCTCCCATTCAGACCTCTATTGTCTTTGGCAGAAATCAGAATGCATAATATACGTTTGATTGATCCTTCATATCTACCTCCCAATGCAAAAACGCACAATTGCAGTTGGCAGTAGATCACAGGAACAACAGGATGATGCAGGAGTGGCCAGTGGGTACAGTCTCATTGTCCCCTCCATATGTTCTTCTAACACATGAAGTCTGTAGATCAGTGGTTCCCAACCTTTTTGCCTCCACAGACTGCTTTAGCTTGTGGGGGGGGGGAGTGTCCATGCAGGGGTGGAAGGGGCCATGGGGGTGGGAGAAATAGAATGGATAATAAATGAACGATGTATTGGAAGGAAGAAAGTTAGGATAAATAATAAAAAGGTATCTGCCACACAAAAAAGGGGGAGAACTGGGATTGCCAAATATTAGTAATTATTATTTAGCAAATCAGTGGAGAATCATCCTGGATATTATAGTAGAAAGTGATGAATTAATATGGAGTGGCATGGAGTGACATTGAATTACAGGAATTATACAAATTGGGATACCAACAAGAGACATATTGGTATAGAAAGAATATGAGAAGAACCATTAACAAGATTCAGAATCCTTTTAAAAAGAATGTATTTGAAATTTGGAATAAACGGAGACATCTTTTTTTCTCCTGGTATATACCCTTTAACAACGGTGGTAGAGTTAGAGAATTTTGCAATATATGGGATAAAGGAATTAATTAACAAATTACAAAAAGAGAGATACATAAAAGGGAAGATTTGAAAAATAAAAAATATAAGAATCAATTAAGAGGTATTTTTGAAGAAGAAAACTTAAATTGGTTAAATCTGATACAACTGGAACAATGATACAATGGTTGAAAGAAAGAAAAATTTAACTAAAGGATAGGCAATTGACAAAGTTTGAACATATCATAAAATATATGGAGAATGAGGTGAACAGAAAAAAGGAGAAAGAGACTTGGCAATAGTTATAGAATACTGACAGAAGAGGCCGATCAGGAGGGTTAAAATAGTATGGGAGGCAGATTTAGGAAAAATAGATAAAGAGGAATGGAAAAATATATGTAACAGGAGGGTTTTTAAAAACATGTCAGTTAGAATAGGAAAGAATGGTTATAAAACAATGTGAAGATGGTATTTAACACCAAGAAAATTAAACAAAATTGATTCTAAATATTCCAAGATGTACTGGAGATGCAATAAAGAATTAGGTACATATCTGTACTTATGGTGGAATGTGAAATTATACAAAGGGTTTGGAGGGAAGTTTTAAAAGAAATTAGAGAAATATTGCAAATCAACTTTGAAGCATCAAGAACATTATTGTTAACAGATAATCATAATGTAAATAACTCAAAGAAAGAGATGATGATAAATATGATAACAGTTGCCTGATTACTTATAGCAAGAAACTGGAAGAACCGGAATTTTCAACCACATGAATGCTATCATGAAATCTGAAATATTGCAATTAATGATAAACTGACATCCGAAATTAAGTTTTAAAAAGATGCATAAATTTAATGAGATATGGAATGGCTTTATAAATATAGGAAATATAGGAAAAGGGCAAAAACAAGGTCAAGAATATAAGTATTTCTGAAAGCAACGAGGTGAAGGAAACGGTGTAAAATATATCTCAATATTGTATTAATGGATGATCCCTGGAGTGAGGGGTGCACTATTCCTTTGGGTTTTTTTGGGGGGGGTTGTAAACCAATTAAATTTGATAAAAATAATATTAAAGAAAAAGATGGGGGGGGGGGAGACAGCCTAATCCACAACATCAAAGGTGAAATTGGAAACCAAGACCACTGGCCTGAGTTTCAAGTCATTATTATAGAAATTCCATTAAACGAAAGAGCCTGGCCTGCTCATCTGTACCATGATATTTGGAACTTTTAAAAGCTTTAATGCTCGGCCAGATGAAGACCCATCCTTGCCCTTGGAGTGTAACCAGTAGGGTCACTAAAGACTTGCCTATGGTGTGCTTGTTGCATTTGTGTTCTTACACGGTTTTGGGCAAATGTTGCAAAACTCTTGACTACATACTTTTGTTACCTAAGCCTAAGCCAGTGGCAAAAAGGTTAAGTTTTGCTAGATCTCCTCTTCTCTATATCCCTGGAGTGGGCAAAACCTCAGTGGGATGGGGCTCCTCCCTGAGAAAGAGACTAGGCAGAAACCAGTTAACGCACCTTTGGTTATGGGAGGAAGCTGAATGAGTTTTCCCTCCTCCGGATAATCTTCCAGTTAGCCAAGTGGGTCTTGGGGTGCAGGTGGAGTCTAGGAGTATCACGTGAGTAAACTCAGAGGAAGAAATTCAGTCAATATTCAGTATATTTACAGATTCAGCCTCCTACCTTCCTCTTGGAATCCAGCCCCACCAGGTTGCTCTTCCCAGATTCTGTTTCAAAAGCCTCTACGAGACGTACAAGTAGATAGCAGTTCATTTTAAGAGCATTAAGATGAAGAGCCTGAACCGAGGGCACCAGATCAGCATCACTCAAGACGGAGGTCAGGTCGCTGGAGTGAGTGGTCGCCACTAGAGGGAGAAGCAAGACGACAAGGTCACCAGGCACCAGCTCTTGAGGCAGATTGGCCCCAAATGCCAACGGACTCCAGCTTTCAGATTACCAAAGACTTGTGCTCATGAGGCCCCAACTGCCAAAACTCTTGCAGCACCCAACCCATAACCGAGGCGCACGAAGCTGGTCTTGTTGCCACCCTCCCTGACCGTTCATTCCCTGCAACGCTTTGCAAAGAGACGGGTGCCTCCCCAGGACTGGAGAGCAGGAGGAGTGGAACATCCTGTCGGTCTGCCCTTACAGTGAACACACATTACTCTGTGTTGACCACCAAGATTACAGACCTTTTGAAAGGCGACAGGTTAAGGGAGCAGCAAGCCAGTCAGGTCACACTTGCCTTGACATCATCATGAAGCTGTCAAAAAGAAATCACGCCTGCCTGACTCCAAGTTGTCTCACTCACCTTTCATCATCAGTTCTAGAGCATCTTCTTTAACGGCAGAATCCACAGCTCTGAAGTGGCTAAAGTGCAGACACATGGGGAATTTAAAAACGAGTAAGCAGAATGCAGATTTAATTTAAAACAGCTATAATTCTAAGCAGAAAATCTTTCTGCCCCCCCCCCCCAAAGCTTCTCACACACAACCTGCCCCAAAGAATATTAAAAAGGCCTGGAAGGTGCCCTTAGGATCAGGGTAAAAGGGACATACTACTTTTTCTGGGGAAATGTTTTAACCCACCAATAATATATATAGTAAACAGCACCCAAAGCTATATAAAGTTCATTTCACTATACAGTGGTGCCTCGCACAGCGAGGTTAATCCGTTCCGGATTAACCCTCGCTGTGTGAAAGCATCGTTGAATGGGGCAGGAAAAGCCATTGGAACGCATTAAACATGGTTTAATGCGTTCCAATTGGGCCGAATACTCACTGTTCAGCGATGCTTCCCTATGGCCGGCAGCCATTTTCACACCCTCCCCTCGCTTTATGAGGGCGCGAAAACGCTGCGCGCGGCCATTTTGGGGCTTCCGGCAGCTATTTTGTAGCCGTGGAACAGCTGATTGGCGGGTCGCAAAGCGAAGGTCGGTAAGCGAACCGCTTACTGACCTTCGCTCTGCAATTTTCGCCCTATGCAGGCACTGTTTTGTGATCGCATTTGCGATCGCAAAACCAGCCGCGTAGAGCGAATTCATCGCTCTACGAGGCGCCCGTTGTGGGTGGCACCACTGTAGCATAGTAACCAACCTAATTAGCAGATTTAGAGGGGGGGGGGAAAGATTAATTAAAAGTGTCAATGCATATTAGCCAACATACTAAGGGTGCACATTTTTTCATTCCCAACAACTGCAACTGACCAGAGCACAGGTTGCTGTCCTCTGAAGATGCCGGCCACAGAGACTGGCGAAACGTTAGGAAGAACCTTCAGAACACGGCCTAAGAGCCCGAAAAACACAGAACAACTGCAATGATTGCTTCATTCATACGTTCCAAAATTGAGAATATCTCAAGTGGTGTGGCAAAACTTCATGCCAAGACAGAGGAGTTAGTGCTGGACCTTGTGTTTGTAACATTCCATATGAGGGCTGTGGATCAGTCACATACAGCCTTCTTGTCCCTGGAAACTCTCAACAGCATCTTCATCACTAAGAAAAGCATCCCAGCCAAGAGCCTCCCAACCCCAGGAAGCAGAAAGTAGAAAATTATTTAACTGTGCAAACTCACTGTAAAATGCTGTAGACAGTATCAAAATGCTGCAGGATAGCAAGAGCGCCTTGTGTGCGGAACACTGCCCGGAATTCTGTAAAAGGAGGAAAATAACACGTGATAGGCAAACTTAGGACAGGTGAACAGACATGTCCATGTGAACCTATAGACTTGAGACACATTTATGGAATAACAAGCCTATTGACAGCTCTTAGTCACAAAAGACGGTATCTTATGATGCTTCCACTGATGCTGCCCAATAAGCTTGGCAGTCTTAGGAAAGTCACAATTTTCCAGCCTCAGATTTCCATGTTCAGAGTGAACAATTGAGGGGTGTTTGTGTGGAATCTTTTGAAGAATAGAAAAGAAAAGAAAAAAAATGATGTAGTAAAATAAAATACTACTTAATTACCTTACAGGGTATCTGTAAGTATTACACAAAGGCCTCTGAACACAATAGAAGAGATATGTATTTTTTAAAAAAGTCTTTAAAATGACTTTTGAAAATAACTAGAGAACTACAGCAAATGTAATGTAACTCTTTGGTTACAACCCAAAGAGTAACTATTTATAGACAAGCAAGTTACTTCTAAGTAGTTACTCTGATGGGGATGCCATTGCTCTGCAATACTGCAATACACACACAGGTTTCCTTTAAAATTGTTGGTGCTGTTGCTGTATTTGAACAATAGCAATAAGACTGCTCTGGAAGGCTGAATGACAAAGACCAGTGTCTTGTTCAACATTCCGACTTGCAGAACTCCAAATACATAAGCTGCCATGGGAATCTGATGAAGCACTGGTTGTTTGTCTAGTCATGCGCAACTGATATCACTTCTGATTCCTGTGGCCACTTAGTTGTCACATCATGCCCTCCAGCTACTGCTAAGGAGCAGCTAAAGTGGGTTCACCTCTAGGTTTCAGTGCCCTACTGTGTTTCCCTGAAAATACAGTTTATATTAATTTTATTAATAGTTTATTTTTTATTAATTTTATTACATTTTATTAATATTAATTTTTCCTCCAAAAACGCTTTAGGGCTTATTTTCAGGGGATGTTTTTTTCCCAGGTACAACAATCTACATTTATTCAAATGCAGTCATGTCATCTTGTTGCTGCACAATAGTGGAGGGCGGAGTTTCACTTAACTGGGGCTTCTTTTTGGGGAAGGCTTATATTACGAGCATCCTGAAAAATCACACTACGACTTATTTTCAGGTTAGGTCTTATTTTCGGGGAAACAGGGTACGTGCAGCCCCAGACTCCCTTTATTTCTTCACAAGGTCTCCCACAGCACTGGTTGGCTACTTCCAACCATACAAGTAGCACTAAAGTAAAACTGGTCTGAGTAATCCACCCCAAAACATCTCTGGAAACAGTCATGCATCTATGACTTCTGCTTTAGAGTGGGCGTCTAGAGACGTTTAGTCAAACACTATCTAAGCCAGTCTGTGCTAGATGGGAAATGCCTATAAAAGGAGGTGAGGTTGGCTTGGGAGGTAATTATGACCGTTACATGCATGGTGCAGGTAGACTGCATCTAAGCTTATTTCAAGAAGCAAATCCTGGCCTGAACCACCATGTGATTTTGAGAATCTAATACATATTTTTCTCAACTACCGACAAAATCTTGGTCCATAGCCTGAGGAAGATGAATCGAAAGCTAGCTATCTGTAGTTTGCTTGTGTTTTTTTAAGTGGTCTAATAAGGGTATCACCACCTCTTGTATTTAGAAAGTTAGAGCAACAGTCAACGGCATAGTAAACTGCATGCCACAGCTGGCACGCAGAGGCCTCTCTGTGGGCATGTGAGCCATGCCGATGCCACCACCCATGCCAGTCTGGTGTGGGACGTGGCACCGCTCACTGCTCGGGCTCAGCTCAAGGCACTGCCTCGCCCCCTGCCCGAAAGGAGCCCACGAGTGGTGCTCAAGGAGGTGATTGGGCGGCGGCGGCAGCAGCAGGAGGCAAAAGAGGAGCTACACTTGGCGCCCCTCACAGCTCCCTATTGACTGCGGCTCTGGAAGCGCAAGACAGCGAGCAGTGCGGAGGAAGCCCAGGCGAGGGCCCTGCCTATATTTGGGGAGGGGGAAAAAGTGGCCCTCTGGAGGATGCGCCGGCCCAGAGGGTGCCCGTTGATTTGGGTACTCAGGTTCAAAAAGGTTTGCCGTCACTGGCATAGAAGCTCAACATACAATTCTTTCTTTCTATTACAGCTGTGACAGCAGCCGAGATAGACAAAGGGCCAACCATGCTTTGTCCATCTGTTGCTGTGAACAAGTGAGAATTCAGATTGCTTGATGCTTGTTCAGTTGAAGTCAAAATAAATAACAAAAAGAGAAGCCCCTATGCCCATTTCCCTTGGAAAACACCCTCCAGCGTTCAGTGTGTCCCACCAAAACTGCCCGAGAAGGGGAGGATAGAAAACCACAGTCCCACCCCCAAATTGCAACCATGCATTTTTAATTTATAGAAAAGATGCAAGTAGAGACCACCAGCTTTCAGAAGGTGAAGGATGGAGAGACAGAGCTGTAGCATTTGTGAATAAAGGTGCATGTGGGTGGACATCCTCCACCATTTGTTTCTATAAGGAAAGGACTATTGAAAGCAGACACTGTCCATTATTCTATGGGGTTTGATTCACTTTTGGCAGTCAGAATCTGGACACCTATGCTATGGATGGGGTTCAGAATGAACATGTGGCTAAATTGGGACACTTTCACATGCAGCTATCCAGTTCATGGCACTCCCATGGCAGCACAGCAGTTCTTTGAAGGATACCATCTAAGTTCACACATGACAGAAATTGAAAGATGCAAGCGACTGCAGGCTTTTGACCTTGCCATGCCTTGTACCTCCTCTTCAATTTCACTTACATGACTTTTGGGAAAGAGAACGTGTGTTGTGTTCACCAAACAAAACCTAAATGGGAATATAAAGGACTGACTAGGTTTGACATAGGGCATCGTATCAGACTAGCTACTTCCAGCAGTGAGTCAAGCGAAAAGTGATTCATTCATTGATGGGAAGACATATATGCTAAAACAACTTTAAGTTCATTATACTTATGACTCCACTCTGCTGTACGATGATTCCTGAATGAGTAGCCCTCCCCACAGGCTGAGAATGTCACTAAAATCATAGTTGGTCGGTGGCAGATGAAAGGTTGGGTTTCGTTCTCTCCTTGAATCTGCTCTTATCAAATTAACATGATAATTACTGAAATCTTATGCTGTTGTTGTTTTGTGCCATCAAGTCACCTCTGACTTACGGTCACCCTATGAATGAGCGATCTCCAAAATACCCTGTTCTCAACAGACCTGCTCAGTTCCTGTAGATTCAAGTCTGTGGCCTCCTTTAAAGAGTCAGTTCATCATCATATTTGCTCTTCCTCTTTTACTAACTTGTAAGTTAACGGTTAAAAAAGGAGAGTTGAAAAAGAATAATTTTTATGAAACATGTGGCAGATTTTTTATATGTGTTAACAAGAGGAAAAGGGAAAGCTCCAAATCAAGAATCAATGCAGTTCTGGAGAAGAGGATAATAACAGAAGAGCATAGATGGAGGAAGATTATTGCAAGAGGTCCCGTCTATGGTGGTGGGGAACACGGTTAAACTGTATTTTGGTTTGTGTATTTTATGTTTACGGTATAGTTATTAAAAATTTTTAAAAAGGAAGTGTTTGGAAAGCGAGACTCCTGCTTTTCTCCTCCTGTTCAGAAGATGGAGGAATCCAGCTCCACCACCAGCGAGCTCAGGGTGTGAGGGAGCCCCTTCCCAGTCAGGGCTGGATGGAGGCAGCTGCTCATTCTTTATCCTGGCAACCAAGGAAAGATTCTGTGTCCTCTGACCAAGGATCCTGTTTCTGTTCCCCGAGTGCCAGGAGATAATGTTCCAGTCAAAAGAAGCTCAGAGTCGTACCTGCTCCCTCCTCCTCAGGAGAGATGTTTGCTGAGGGACCCCAGAGATGGGATCCAGTTGCTGGACAAGGTCCTGTCGGAATTCCCAGAGTCTGAGGAACTGGTTGCCTCCCTGGAGCCCCTCCTTCCAGACTGCCTCTCAAGCCCCAGCAGAGCCAAGAGAGTTGATTTACTGACTGCTGGCGAGGAGAGGGGCCTCTGGGTGCCTTCCCAGAGGAGGGGAAAGGATCCAAGATCCGGAGGGCAAATGAGGAGCCACCGCCAGCGCCGCCCCCCTTTCAGCCCATCCCTGGCCTCGGCCTCTTTCCCTCACCCGCGTCCCATCTGCCCAACTGACCTGAGAGGCTCCCCGGGAGCTGTTTCAGCGGCAGCACCTCCTGCACCACGTACTGCGAGGCTTCCCCGCCGCGCAGCAAGTCGGCGGGAGACAAAGGCAGCTGGAACTCCCACGAGGGAGCCGCCGACGGAGCCGCCCCGGCCATCCCGCTCAGGTCCCCGGCCGGAAGCAAAATGAACAGACCCCCTCTTCGCGCCACGCAGAGTTCAGCGGCAATCGGCTAATCAGAGCGTTTGGAATGCAAGCCGGACCAATCACCGTGCGAACACCTCCGCTGCCCCGCCTAATCAGAAAAGGCTCCCAAAAAGCCCTCAAAACTGCCGAACGAGCCTCAGCCTCTGGTGCCCGCAGCAGCGGTGAAGGAAAAGGCGCGCCGTCATTTCGAACAGGCTCAGCCAATCAGAGTGCTGGGTCAGGGATTAGCGGCCAACCAGGTGAAGAGGACGGTACTCGCCCCCGCGGCCCTTGCAATCTCACATCCGTCGTACCGAAGAGATACGAAAAGAGTAGCCGCGCCACCTACGCTGCTCTAGAGGGAGCTGGCGGGTTCCTTTCGGGGAACCCAAAACAACACCACCGAGAAATTCAGCGTTTTTACAAACCAACAGCACTTCTTCGCCAAAAAGAAAACAGCATTTCTTATTTTGCGTGCAAATGTTGGGGGTTTTTTTACATTTAAACTTCCTAATTTTTATAAAGGATGATCTCCCTATGAGAGAGAAAGGACTTCAGCCCTGGGAGCCCCCTTTGCACTCAAAAGGGCCGAAACCAGAGAAGCCCCCTTTCACCCGATGCACCAAAGCGAGCCCTTCCACGCTCTCCCCTAATTCAGGGCTTGATTCGTGCTGGTTTTCCCCTTATCCTTACCGATTTCGAAAGAGTTCCCATCAGGAAATCCGTTGGATCACAAGTTTGATCCGCGGAAAACAGGCACCCCCCCCCAAAAAAAAGAGGCAGGGAGCCGGCTTGGTTTTTGGGGTGACTCGACTCGATGGACTTTGAGGAGTGAAGTGGGTGCGGGTGGGATCCCTTTCAGAATCAAATCGGGAGCGGGCTTGAGGGCGGTGTTTCGTGGGTTGAACCATGAAATCTTGCCCGTCCCGTAGCTGGACGGAGAGCTGGGTCGTAGGGATTAAAAACACACACACCCCCGATATAATATAGTAACCGGGTGGCGTCTTGCCTTTGCAGCTACGGTCCCTCCCTTCCCTTCCCTTCCCCCCCCCCCGCTTTTCCGGGCGAAAGGCGTCCTGTGTCCTGATCGCTGCAGAAGAAATCCGCCCAAGCCCTTCATTTTGCCCTCTCGACGCCCCCTTCCTCGCTCCCGCCTTGGCGTTTCCAGCGGATGTTCTCCAAGCGCCAAGAATCCCTGGGAAGCCCGATCGGATGGACCCGCTCCTGGCCGGCGTGGATGCTCTACTGTTTTCCTGCCTCTCTGCGGCGACGGCGCCGCTTCCGCTCCAAGGCCAGGAGGAAGACCCCGCGGCCTTGTGGGTCGTGTGAATGGCGGCTCCCTGAGCGTGTCGCGCTGCTCGGGAGGAACGGAGGAGGTCTCGCCGAGCAGGGCGCGCGATGGCGGCGATGGCGGCCAAGCGGTGGTGGTGGGCGGCGGCGGCGCGGGACTTCTTGAGCCGCCCCTTCTTCCCGCCCGAAGCCCGCCGACTCTGCAGCAGCACGAGTGCCGGTGAGGCGGGAGAGGGGGATAAAAAAAAGGAAAGAAATGGCCCTGCCAAGGGTAGGCGAGGGAGGGTTTTGTAGCCCAGGTCACCTTCAGGCAGGCTCTGGCGCAGTTCTCCCCCACCCCGTTTTATAATTTTTGTGACCCAATACCCTGCTATGATTTTTTTTAGAAACTAGTATACGAATCACATACTGTACTTAGATTTTTTTTAAGGAACTGCCTTTCTTCATAAAACATCCTTCATAAAACAGACCTGGTTTTAAAGGAGAATCCTGCTTTCTAAGACAAGGTGCACGTTCCTCAGGTGTATTGCTGTAGGATACAGTGGTAGGGTTGTTGCCATCACGCTATCAATTAATGTCCAAGATTGTAAAAAAGCAGTCTGGATTGCATAGGTGGAGCAATACAGGCATGCATTTCATTTCGACACAATACTGTAGTTTGCTCACTGCATGTCTTCAAAGTCTATATTGCAAAAAAAAATGGTTTCAAGTTGGTTCTGACTTATGACAGCACTTCCTAGGATATTTTAGACATACACTAGTAGTCGGATTAAGTTTGCTAAATTTTTTAGTGATGCGCTCAGAGCATGCGGCCCAATCAAGTTTGCACAAGCTGGCTTTTTACACACAATACTGTAGTTTGCTCACTGCATGTTTTCAAAGTCTATACTGTATTGCAAAAAATGTTTTCAAGTTGGTTCTGACTTATGGCAGCACTTCTTATGATATTTTAAACATACACTAGTCGGATTGTTTGCTAATTTTTTTAGTGATGCTCTCGGAGCATGCGGCCCAGTCAAGTTTGCACAAGTTGGCTTTTTTACGGAGGAGGCATGGTGGGGAATTGAACTCCCAAACTCATGTCTGTAGCTAGTTGTTTAAGCCCTCTGAGCTGACCAGCCAGCTGTAATAACAAATATGGAATAGAATTGATAAAATAGAACTAGTTTGCTAAATGCTTCTCAGTCTGCATTGTATTTGATGCTGAACTAACTTTAACTCATGTCTGTAGCTAGTTGTTTAAGCCTGCTGAGCTGACCAGCCAGCTGTAATAGTGAATATGAAATAGAACTGATAAAATAGAACTAATTTGTTAAATGCTTTTCAGTCTGTACCCAATAATATCCAATACTCAGATATGAATTTTTAGAAACGAGTATACAAATCACATACTGGATCCAGAATCTTGCTTATGTAAGACCAACTCTCTGGTGTTGTAATAGTGGCTTTTTAGAAACTATGCAGTGTGAAAGATCTGGTTATGAACATCTGGTTATGAACACCCATCTAGCAGTTCTACTGAATTTTTTGTCCATTTTTTAGGACTCCCAAAAGTCAGGCATGTGAGAGAGCCCCCCCGACCGAAAGAGGTTGACAGGTGGACAGAGAAGCGAGCGTTGTTTGGGGTGTATGACAACATTGGAATTCTGGGTAAGTATTTTGAAGGTATTATTTTTTGAATAGATAAAAGAATGTATTTTCCACCATTGATGGGACTGGCATGTTTATGCCCTTCCGTGACACTAGTGAAGTGATATTATGATGTGGTGTACTAAATCAAGTGTTAGGAATCCAAAAAATATGTGATTTAGGCAGAGTAGGTTGTGGTTGTGTAAAGAGGCAAGGGCATCCACAATCCAGGACATGGACTAAAAATTTTAGTGCTTTGCTTGTTGTTTTTGGTTATGCTTATTGCTACAAAAATATTAAAAAGTGCCTAACATTTTCAAAATTTTGTAGAGCGATTGAAAGATAGTCTCTACTTGTAAGCCTATAAATTAATGGGAGGAGGGGATACAAAAGGGAAAGAGGAACATTAGAGCAGCTGCAATTTCAGTGACCACGGGATGGGGTTGAACTGGTCTCCCTTTTGCCATATTGTTCTTCCTGGAGACACGATTCATTGGATTCAGCCTCCCAAGAATCCTTGATCTTCTCACCATTGAGCAGACATTAGTGTGTTCCATTCTTCATCAGTGCAGTTTCAAGGTAATTCCGTGCGGAATGTGTGGTGCGGCAAACATTTTAAAAGTAGCTGAGCAGTGACAAGCATCCCATGCTATCATTTTTGTAGTCTGATGAGCTCACCAAGCTAGCCAACAACATTTACATTTCACTTTTCTGCTGTGCATTTCTGATAGCTGAATGATTCAGTTATCTGACTGTGGAGCCAGAGATTGGGAGTTCGATTCCCCAGTGTGCCTCCTTGAGAATTTATGTTATATTATTGAATTTTATAGCTTCAGTGCTCCTTTTTCTCCTCTTTGTTTCTATTTCATTTGCATGTCTTTTTTCCTGTGTTAGTTTCTAATTTCCATTTTCTCCTCCTTAATTGTGCGTTTCTCATTGCATGTATTCCCTTTTCTCCTTTTTCTTATTTTTAGTGTCTTATGACCTCTTTCTTTTTTATTTACCTAAGACTGTCTCTTGGATTTTTTTTCTGCTAATAGTATTTATTCATCTATGATCTTTTCCTCTCCTACACACACAAAAAAGGGGTAGAGGTTATTCCAGTCCCTGCTCAAGCAGATTTCCTTCCCATTATGCCACATGTGGTTAAAGGATACAGTACTTTTCATCTTTTTTGAGGGTTTAAAGGATACAGTACTTTTCATCTTTTTTTGAGGGGTTTTTTTTTTTGCTAAGTGATTAGCAGTGTGCCTCCTTGAGAATTTATGACGGCCGGGATCTAATGGTTGTTGAGGGTTTTTCGGGCTCTTTGGCCGTGTTCTGAAGGTTGTTCTTCCTAACGTTTCGCCAGTCTCTATGGCCAGCATCTTCAGAGGACAGCACTCTGTGCTCAGTGCTAATATGTTCATATACATTCTTACAATGATTTTGGTTTCCCGAGGAAAAGGGGATACCTTGGGAGTTGTATACAGTGGTGCCTCGCAAGACGAGCGCCCTGTTTAACGACAAAATCGCATTACAACCAAGTTTTTGCGATCGCAAAACGATGTTTCCTATGGGGGAATTTCGCTTTGCGATGATTGGTTCCCTGCTTCGGGAACCGATTCTCACAAAATGATGATTTTCGGCCAGCTGATCGGCGGTTTCAAAATGGCTGCTGGATTAAAAAAAAAAGGCTCCCTGCTCTTTTCTGGGACGGATTTCACTGCACAGGCAGTGAAAATGGCCGCGCTATGGAGAATCTTCACTGGACAGTGAGTTTCAAGCCCATAGGAACGCATTAATCAGGTTTTAATGCATTTCTATGGGCTTTTAAATTTCGCTTTATGATGTTTTTGTTCTACAGCGATTTCGCTGGAACGAATTAACATCGTAATGCAAGGCACCACTGTATTTGAGAAAGAGGTGAAAGGGGCCGTAACAAAAAACCAATCCCTCACCAGAACGTAGTGGAAGAATCATGGCGGATTACGTCCCCTGGGATAAATTTCAACAGCAAATTGTGATTAGGGAAGAAGTCAGTGTAGGCATTTGGTGGTGTGCTCTGAATCCTGTATGTGGTGTGTAGCACCAGAAGCATGGGCTGACTTCTTTACTAGCAGCAATTCTTTACTGAGACTTATGCCGGTGGATGCATATTGGCTTGTTTCTGCTCTCTGGCTGCTAAACCTAATAGCTACTTGTGCACGGAAGTGATGGACTCATGGCTAACCTCTCTTTCTATCACATCATTTGTCTTTCTCTTTCTCTCAGGGGATTTCATGGTTCATCCCAAGGAACTTATAAAAGGCCCAGCATGGCTCCGTGGGTGGAAAGGAAATGAGCTACAGAGATGTATCCGTAAAAAGAAAATAGTGGGTGACCGGATGTTTTTAGAGGATTACCACAATCTCAACAAGAGGATAAGATATCTGTACAGTCGATTTAATCGATATGGAAAGCATCGTCATTGAGAATAGTTCCTCAAGAACCACATCTATCTCAAACTACATGGTGCATTCAAGTAAAACATCAGTTATCTTTATGGCTTTGGCATTATCAAGAAAGTTATGTGAAATTTTACTGATGATATTCTTATTCTGGTTTTTCTAAGCTGTATCTGTCTTCTGCTTTACCTACTAATGTATTCTTGCATAGTGCACTGAAATTCTACTCCTGTAATCCTCCCTCTGCTTAATCACCAGAAGATGCCACCTTTTCTGTGGTTTATGTCATGTTTCTGTACACGACAGTATGAGAATTTTGTAACATGTTCCTTGATTATATGCACCCCAAATATTTGTCTACTAGACCTTTGTTTTAGGATTAAAATGACTTAGTTTAAGGATACAATGACATTGCTATGAATATTAATTATAAGTATAAGATGGATCATCTTGGCAATATGAATTTCATTTTTCTAATTTCTTTTTGTGCCTACCCATCTCTGTTTATGAGGAATGTGTTGCTTTCCACATATTTATGGATTACAGGTCTCAACAGCTAAGGTAGCAAGTGATGAAGAAAATTGGGAGGGCCGTTTTTTAGTGATGATGTGGATTGCTTTTCCTTGTACTATTTATGTTAAGATTATGGCCAGATCATAGCTTGTACTAACCATTTAGACACACTGTCCAAATTTTCCTGGTGTTGGTAAATTCCAGGAGGGCCAGATGTGCTGCGGGAAAATCTTCATGCCCTGGATCCCTCCCAATACACTGAGTTATTCTGATTACACAGTGCTCCAGGGAGTTACCAAAAACCACAAGATTAAGTTCTTTGCTTTGTATGCCAACGCTGCAATATAGGAATACCAAAATATCCACAAAATATAAAAGCACTTAGTAGGTGATCAAGGTAAGGCCCTTCTTTAGTGCCAACAATCCTTTTGTTCCCAGAAATAACCAAGCTGTTATAAAAATTTTCATTTCATTTAACGATCTTACAAGAAAAAGGCAAAACTTCCAAACACTTTCAGAAGTCACAAAAAAGTCAAAAGCTGTGCAGCAAATATATATTCAAAAAGATTTAAAGCTTGAGGCAAGAACACTTCCAGAACAGTTGCCACAAGGAAGTAAGAAAGCTAGCTGATCTAAGCTAATACTTAGAAAAAGACAGAATATCAACATGGTTTCAGAGCATACATAGAATATAAGTCAGGCAGCAATGCAAAAGATGAGCATAGAAGTCTCCAAAGAGATACCAGGCTAAGCAATTTCCTTCTCACTTTTATACCTATCATTCCTTTTTAGACTTTTCAAGGAGATGTTCCAATCAGGCAGCAAATTGCCCCAATATTTCTTGAAGAAGAGAGTAACTTCTTCAAAGTGACTTCTCTCCCCCTCCCTTCCTCTTTGCTGAAACCATTCCTTGTTAAAGCGCTGTACCAAGTTGTGAGGGGCCTTGAAGATTCCTCTCTCACACAGTGATAAGGTTTCCCATTTAATGGATACTTTTTTGCCCCACTCCTGGCTAGCTCATCCCAGGCACAAACAGGCCTGTATTTCAAAAGGGCAACTGAACCCATGATCCCCTATCTACCCAATCTCTTGACAATTCATTTTAATAACATGTTCTAAGCCTTTAGTGTAAAGTGCTTGGGGCAATGAACTGCTTTGTGTTTGTTAATCGAAATTCAGAATAAATGACTGAAATCTTGACTTCTGTTTTTTAAAATCATTTTATCTACATATTGTGGGCATCTGCCCTTTTTACTTATTATTTTTACTGAATAGCTTTACTATGGGCAGTTTATTGTGTGGGCAGAATTTAAACATACCTGCCAATCCCCAATACAGCTGTTCTATGGCGTCAGGAGTGTGGAGGCCCTTCAGAGCAAGGCTGCTGTTCTTTAATCTTCTGTGTCCATAGAAATGTTGGAAAGGTTGTTTAGTTCACTTTTACAATCATGATACTTTTTGATAGATGCTTTGGCTGCTCTCTTGCATGGGTATGGGGAAGTTGGTAAGTATGACGTTTGGTCAACTTATGCTGCAGGAAGTCTGTTACAGTGGGCCAAGGACCAGAAGAGCCAAATCACACCAAGAATCCCTCTAGTCCAGTGGTGGTGAACCTTTTGGGGTTTGTGTGTCCAAACGGGGGGGGGGGAGTGGGCGGCGGAACTGGAAGTGGCACCAGTGGTGGACCGGAAGCGGCAGCAGAAGGGGGAAGCCCAGCACGGAGGTGCCTCAAGACCCCACTCCAGATCTGCTGCCAGTACCAGGGGCTTGTACACACATACAGTCGTTCCCTGCTTAACGATTATCCCGCATTACAATGAATCCGCTTCACGACGATGTTTTTACGATCCCAAAACAATGTTTTAAATGGGTTTTTTTCGCTTTGAGAAGTTCGGTTCCCTGCTTCGGGAACCGATTCTTCGCATTACCACGATCAAAACAGCTGATCGTCGGGTTTTCAAAATGGCCACCGGGTGCTAAAATGGCTCCTCGCTGTGCTTAAGGACAGATTCCTTGCTATACAGGCACCGAAAATGGCCGCCGTATGGAGGATCTTTGCTGGACGGTGAGTTTTTAGCCCATTGGAACGCGTTAACCGGGTTTTAATGCATTTCAGTGGTTTTTTTCACTTTACAACATTTTCGCTCTACAGAGATTTCGCTGGAACGAATTAACGTTGTTAAGCAAGGCACCACTGTACTTGAAGCCTTTGCAAGGGCATTGTTCTCCTCCACCTCCTGCCTGCCTCCAGCACTGTCCCCTTTTTCTCTCCAGTCCACCTGGGACTTTGTCCCTTTAAGGGAGGGAGGGGATGTCCTACATCATTAGAGGGAGGCGGAAGGCAAGTTATTTTCTTGCGTTCCTTTGTTTCCATCCACTGGGTGCTCGGCAGATTCAAAGGAAGGCAGGGTCTCCTTCCCCCCCCACCCACATACACCTCAGGTTTGGCTGCGCAGGGCAAGGGGGGAGTACTTTATCTGGTGACCTATGGCTCGCGTGCCAGCAGAAAGGGCTCCGCGTGCCAGCCGTGGCACGCATGCCATAGGTTCGTCATCGCTGCTGTACATTTTGTCCCCAAGCAAGATGAAGTCTAGAACGGGCTGTTGCTTCATGCCTATTTCTCTCCCAGCAGTTACTGTTGAGACATGCACACTACTGTAGGATCATGAGATTAAAGTTTTGGCTAGAAGTTCTGGTGTGTTCAGAGGACAGAAAAGGCTTTAGTCTGTTGTTCTTCGAAGCAGATCATCTTGGCTTCTGCAGGATTTTGCTTGCAAATAATGGTTCCTAGAGACAGTAGCTTACTGCCACATGCACAGATAAAAGAATAAAGTCTTTAGCTATACTATGTTCTTTAACTCTCTCTATGTGTGTGTGTGTGTGTTTAAGGCGAGAACTGAAGATAATTTGCAGCTCTGATGCTTTATAAGGCATGCTTCTTTCCCCTTGGGGCTTACTTGTGTAGTGTATTTTATCCTTGCATTCCTGCCAGCAGTACTGAGTTGGAGTTCCTGTGTTGTGCTGTGGCAGATTACCCGCTACAGGTTCTCTGTAAAGGGGCAATTCTGATCTTCTTTTCTCTCAGCATTCCTAAGCCTGGCTCTTTGAGAGAGAGAAAATGTACTTTCCGTTCTAAGCACCCTTTGCACCAGAGTTCTATCACCAAAGTCTGTGTCTGCATATCTCACAAGTATGCATGTTGTGAGGTCAGAGTTGCAGAGTTTTCAATTCCTGGTAAAATTCTCGTTTTGCTACATAGTAGAAGTACGTAGATCCACAGAGGAGATTAACTAGTAACTTCTCCAGAGCCCATCTCTTTCTCATTAACTCTTTCTAATTTTCTGGAGTGCTGCACAGAGGCTCTGCCCCCTGTGCACAGGATTCTGGCTGTGACCGAAAGCAAATGGGTGAAAACACCGGACTGGCTGTGCACACCTGATGCAGTACTGTGCACCTGCCGCCTTAGAGGGAACACTGACTGGCACCTGAGTAACTCATTCTGAGACATTTGTAGGAGAAAGAATAAAAACATTACTTACAGTTGCTTGAAATTAAAGATTTGTGTACACGTGCTGCTTTCTTTACTGCATGCATATTAGCAGCCTGCGACGTTGCTGGAACCAGTTGGCTCTTGCCTTTCCATTGGACCATTTCAGCAACGTGGAGAGGGGGGATTTGCTGCTTGGGTAACAACCTATCCTCCATACTACTTTACCCAGGCTTCATACTCTGGAGAGGACACTTCTCGATACAGAGCATGTTACCATGGTCTCTCGAGACTGAAGGATGCCTATGATTAGCAGCCAACCAGACAACAGCCAACAGCAACAAAATAACAGCCAGCAACCAACAAAAGGCAGGGTTCAAACACTCAGCAGAGAGGAAAGGCTCTCTTTGAATCGTCAAGCTGGAAGGAACAATTGGTTAGTGCTAGAGAGACAGACAATCATTCCAGCCCAGAAAAATTCCTCCTAGTTACTACAGATGGCAACCACTGTACTGTAAAATCCTGGATTTCTGACATCTCGCCAGGGAACGGAGAAATGGTGCTGCCCGTGGAAATCTCCCGTTCTAAAAGAAGCGAAAGCTACGATGCCTGAAGCAGTCAAACATTAACGGCGCAGTCCTATAGTAGTATACGCGCCCACGCCGAAGTCAGACTCTCAGACATCTTGCCGGTTAAGCCAACGCATCCAAATGAGCTGCCGCGGAGGAGGAGCCAGCCGGACAGCTTCGATAGGTGGGCGGGGCTGTGCAGGACGAGGCCCGGCGCGGGCAAGGCTATTGGACGAGCGAGCCAACCCTCGCTTTCTGGGACAAGGGCGTGGTCACAGGAGGGCGGAGGGCGAACGTTCCATTCATTCGCTCCGCTGCGCCGGCGACCGTGTGGGAGGGGCGTGACGGGAAAGGGCTCTCCATTGGCTCGCCCTGGGCCCCCCGGGCGCGCCGAAAGGACCGCCCCTCCCCTTCTCCTTGTATAAAAGGCGGGGGGGTGGCCGCGCGGCTCCTGCTGCAGCAATTTGGGGATCGCTAGAGGGAGGCGGGCATCTCTGGCTGTCGACGTTGCTCCGGGCGGGCGGTCGCCTCGGACGGTCGCACGATTCCTACGCTACTTGGTGGGTTCAGCTCTGAAAAAAAAGAAAAGGGGGTCTCCCAGAGCCGAGGCGAACCATGTGAGTAACGCTGGGGCGAGGAGCAGCCCGGACAGGGGTGACCGCATGCCCGCCTGCTTGCTGCTTGCTTGCTGCCCTGCTCTGTGCTGCTGCTTTCGCTGCACGGTTGCGGTACCTGCCGAGTTGCGCATTGCAGCACCGCCTCCTCCCACCCCACCTCCGTACTCTTTCCCATCCATCGTCCGGTGCCGGGGCGAGCACGATCGGGCTATGCCGCCTCCGCCGCCTGTCCGATCTGCCCGGGGCCCCCATCCCTAACCCCACCCCGTGCTTGCTGCGGAGTGGCCCCCCACGAGTCTCCGCAAGATCGCCTCTTCTTCTGTGCTTGCTCAGCCCTCGGCCGCGTCGGAGCTCGCCTTCAGACCCCCTCGGCTGGCTGCGGNGGGGGGGTTGCAATGGGGGGAGCGGGGCATTTTCACAGGGGAGGAGGAAAGGCGATTCCGAAATGCGGCACTTGTCTGCAGGTTTCTCTCTCCCTTGTTCAACGTCTGAGGAAAAGGGGAAAGGAGTCGGTCAACAGCCCAGATCTCGGGCTTGTTTTAAAAATTACGATGTTAAAAGAGATTTCATCGCGCTCTCGTAGAAAGCTGTGGCAATGGGGGGAGCGGGGCATTTTCACAGGGGAGGAGGAAAGGCGATTCCGAAATGCGGCACTTGTCTGCAGGTTTCTCTCTCCCTTGTTCAACGTCTGAGGAAAAGGGGAAAGGAGTCGGTCAACAGCCCAGATCTCGGGCTTGTTTTAAAAATTACGATGTTAAAAGAGATTTCATCGCGCTCTCGTAGAAAGCTGTGCGACGGAGGTGGCAAGATCTGCTTGGCATGTGCCAATGCTTGGAGGAGTGCGGAGATCGCCTTTCCATGGATGGGGGGGGGGTGATGGTGGTGGAGAAAAGAATCCTCCAGGCTGTCATAAGCTCTGAGAGGTGACCCTTCCTATCACCTTGCTGGTGATCATCTGGAAAGGAAAGAGGGAAGACGTTTTGTGTGAGAGATTCATTGCGGAGCAGAAGAGCTGGGCTTAGTTTCCTTTGGACTTGCGCGAGTCTGGGCTGTCTGTTCATGTCCAGTGGAGACAGCTGTCCCTTGTTTTTTCCTTTCTCTGGATTTCATGACCGATCTCCAGGTGATGTTGCCCGGAGCATCCTATGTTTGGATCGAGCAGCAACCTGGTGTGGTTCTGAGATTCTTTTAATCCCTTTTTTTGCTGGGATTGAGAAATGCAGCATTGCTCTATGAACTGATGTTTTAACTCCAGACAGCAACATGATAGCAAAGAGAAAGCTCTTGGTAGCAACTTTCCCCAATGAAAAAAGGTCCCTGTTTTATGACACAGCAATTATTTCATGTTCGGGGATCACGCTCTGATGATACAGAAGTGTCCTGACCTTGTTCGCTGCAGTATTGGCTATCATGGTGTGACTGCAGTCGTAACGGTAGTAGACTTCAAATGTTCAGTGCCCTTCGCGTTTGTACTGCCATCTCCGCAACCCCTCACAACAGATCTGAGGAAGGCCCACAGTCTCTGCTGCAGATGGAGGAGGGTTGACTTAGGCGACTTCCTGGGCTAGAAATAGCCACTTATCACCTATAAAACATTTAACAATTATTTTTCATGGGCTTTCACGTGACCAACCACACTTCTTCACATGAATGGAGGGACTGTGTCTCTCGGGGAGTATAAAACTGTTGGCAGTTTAAAATCATTGGGCTAAGCTTAGAACAGTTGCCAATGGTTTGAAACTGCCAACAGTTTTATACTCCCTTTTATATTCTAGATTAAGTCACGGCATTCATCTGAAAAAATGTGTTTGGACACACAAAAGCTTACGAAAAATAAAAACTTGTCTTATAGGTGTTACATGACTGTTTCTGGTTTGCTGCAATAGATTAATGTGGCTTTCTAGGCCACAATCCCTTGTACTTGTTCACAATACCAGCTGTGTTATCCTCTTTGTATCCCTCCCCCCAAGGGTGAAGAGATATTCTAAAAGAAATAAACCCATTGCACTGAAAATATGTCAAAGCACTGTTGGTCACTTATCAGTTGCTATATTCTGGACTTGTATCCTATCCTGTTTAACTTCTGCTCCAGTTTCCACAGTGTTTCTAGAAGATCCCTGAAGGGTCAGACCTACAAATGTGTCCTCTAAAAGCATTGAGACTCCAAAGTGCAGCACTCAGCACTTTTAGCTACATATGCTGGGTAGGACATATGTGAGTTGTAATCCATCATTTTCATGGAGTGTCCTTTTTTCATCCTATTCTGCAGTTTGTTCCTCGGTGTAGCCTGCCTAGATACTTCAGAGAAGCCATAAGGAGGGCATGAAGGCAACAAATCCCAGTCTTTCTCTGCTCCAGTGACTAGGATAACACTACCTCTGTATGCAGAATGCCCCCTTTTACCTCATAAATATCGAGACCTGGCCTCCTCAGTGCTAGTATGCTTCCCTGCATCTTGTATGTGTCAGAAGTCACACCTTGCATGAAGGACTGCTGCTCTTGAATTTCTTATGAATAGTGGTCGCTGTGCAATCCCCTGAGTGCTATTATTAAATAAGGAGGTACATCTCTCGTCATACCATGCATAGTTCTCTTTACTTCTCACATTTCCTCTTAGGATTTTCTTTTCATTAAGAAGAAAGAACTCTAAATACTTCTAGCTTTTGTGGTGGGGGGGAACCATCCAAACGAAGGTCACTTTTGCTGCCCTTTCCTGTACTTTTTCCAGCTACAATGTGTATCTTTACACAGTAGAGATGTAAACTGTACTTAGAGGAGGCAGTATTGTGCATCAGCACTGCCACCTTTTTTTACTTGACTTCCCCATCTCCAGGTCTGATCCAGCTCAGCCAGCTGCCCCAGGTGCAGGACCAGAAGGGGGAGAAAATGCTGGAGGCCCTCCTGGACCACCCCCAAATTTGACCAGTAATCGTCGCCTGCAACAGACTCAAGCACAGGTGGAAGAGGTAAGTTGCTAACCTGTTTAACTCTTGGTTGAGCAGTTGTGGTGGGTTTTTGTGATTTCCTTCTCACGAGTGGCCTAACCTGCCCTTTCCTTTCAGGTGGTAGATATAATGCGTGTGAATGTGGATAAAGTCTTGGAGCGAGATCAGAAATTATCAGAATTAGATGAACGAGCAGATGCTCTCCAAGCTGGTGCCCAAGTATTTGAAAGTAGTGCAGCAGCGCTCAAGAGGAAGTACTGGTGGAAGAACTGTAAGGTGAGCTTTTGGTAAATATTCCCTTGGCTCTTTTGCCACGGTCTGAGAAGGCAGCTGAGACAAGGGGGGATGAACCGGTAGCTTTATTTATTGGTGGAAGACCGAGGTATCAGAAGCAGAAGGAGTACTTTGCAAATATATGGTTCTAGCTTCATTGCATCCCTGGGGAGTGGATTCTTGAACTGCAGCTCTAAGAATAAGGGGAAAGGGGGTTTCCTCTGCATATTGACGACAAGCATTGTTCAAACTAGTGAATAAATCAGAAAGCATTGGAGAAAATGTGTATACATTTTGGTGCATTCAAACTAATGCATAAAAATCACACACGTTGCCACTGAGCCTTCTTTTCAAAAACTGGAAAGTGGGTGAAAATGGGACAGAGTGACTTGTACTAGGGGGAAAAAAAGCCAGAAGTGTTCCGGAAGGCAACATGACTCCCAGATGAAAAGAGTTTCTTTCTGAGATCATGAAGAACGGCTCTCGGTTAATTAGACAGCAATGGACTAGACAGGCTCATGGCCTGATCTGGTGTGAGACAGCACTGAAGGTTGTGATGATCAGCTGTCTTTAGGGATGGGACTTTCAGGACTTGTAAGGGTTTGTAGGAGGTCAGAGTTTCAATACTCATTATGATCTATAGCAGTGGTTCTTAACCTTTGTTACTTGGATGTTTTTGAACTGCAATTCCCAGAAACCCCAGCCAGCACAGTTGGTGGTGAAGGCTTCTGGGAGTTGCAGTCCAAAACTCCTGAGTAACCCAAGGTTAAGAACCAGTGATCTATAGAGGGCTACATGGAACTACATCTCCCACGAACCCTTGAGAGTCCTAGGTAGTACTGCAACTCCCAGGGTGGTCAGGGACAGTTTCCTTGTTTTTCAAAGGAGTTCCAAAACTTATGGATGGAAACACTACGGGGGGTGGGGCATGGTAGAGGCTACTCTGAAGCCTATGGTTCTTGGATTCCTACTCCCAAATTTTCCCTGGAGGAGTCTTGGCAGATTCTCAGAGTGGGAATCCCCTCCCCTTCCACAAATTACAGAATTGTCCACCTTAATTGTCCACCTTTATGGGAGGTCTTATCATCTTATCTTGGATGGCAGCTTTGTATGGTCTCATTTTCATTCCTCTTTGCAGATGATGATCATGCTGGGAGTGATCTGTGCCATTGTGGTCATTGCAATTGCACGTAAGTACCAAAGGGAACCAGGATAGCTGGGCTTGTGAGCCACTGGCAGTGGATAAATACAATATCTGTCTGCCCCAGGGAGTATGGGAAATGGTGCTTGCTGTTCTCTCTGATGCTAAAATCCAATCAATCTGTGAGCCAAGGTGCCCTTTAGGATAAGGGGTTATTTTGTCTCTAGATTGGGGACAGACATGGTAGTATGAGAGGACCTTCCTTTTCCTGGATGTTCAACAGCCTTTGTTAAACATTGAGTGCTGGATGTAACATGCCCTCTTGTTTTCTCCTCTTTTTTTTTCTTCCCTTCTGTTACTTCTGTCCCCAGTCTACTTTTTTACCTGAGAATGTGGTCTTCTCCCCTCCCTCCCCAGTCTGCAGCCTTCTTTCCCCATTGCCTTTTCCTGTCCCACTTCTTCCTCTTCTTTCCTTTCTCCTTTCATTCTGGCTTGGTCATCTGTTTTCTTTTACCTTCCATACCAAGACTTTTATGCATTGTTTCCTGGTTTTCAGTTCATTCTCCGCATAGCTGCTGCAGCCTTTGACTAGGCCAGCTCTTTTGTTTTTAAATTTTTAAAATTATTTCGAGGGTAGCAAAGGGGCCTAGTGGAGGAAATTTTGGATGAGGAGGCTGTGATGTTGTGGTTGATGGCACACATGGGTTTTGCTTGCCGTTTGAGGTGTATTGGAAGTATCCTTTTCTCTTGCGACTCAATTGCAAAACATGTCCTTTGGCCATGGGCAGCATTAATGAAGTTGTTACTGGAAAAATTGGAGAGAGACAAGAGAAGGTGGGTGTTTACTGGGAGTAAACGTAGTGTTTGCCAGGAAAAGATCCTGGTCCCAGAATTGTTCTGATGTTCCCTTAGTTAGAAATCCATGATGGATGTTCTGCCTAAAGAAATGGTGGTCCTAAGAAAACTGGCACTCTTCCCTTACCATCTCTGAGACGACTTTTGACCTCATGAATGTGGCAAGAAAGATGTTGGTTTGATTCGTTTTCCTTGGCTCCAGAAGAGGTAGCTTGATAATGGGGCCCTGTATTCTGTAAGGCCCTCTGAAGTAACAGTGGGATAAAATGGATCTCTCCTGCTGCCTGCTGTCTGGTGTGGCCTGCTTGATCACTCTGACAGCTTGACAGAGCTGACCATTCAGTTAGCAAGCCCCACACTGTTTTGCTCCTTAGTTGAAAAGGAAGCACAGCAATGGCATGACGACTGTGCATTTGGGGACTGCCTTATTCTGCAGGAGCAAAGTAAGGTGGTTGTGCCGTATGATGCTAGGCCGGGTTTTTTTTGCCTAGTTGTACATCCCTAGTTCCTTGGGACGGAGCCAGCAGGGCGAAGTGCTGGTGCTTTCTGAGGATGGCCTGAATGTCGATTCTCACACTCATTCATCGCTTCTCCTTTAGGTTATCATTTGATAATTCCATCAGTGGCAAATCTGCCTATATTGATTCATGCTCAGTTGTCACTTCCCACGCACCCTGGCAAAGTTGCATTACTCCTGACTGAAAGGAGCTTAGAACAATGGGTGGATTGTTTAAAGAGGTTTAAGAGTAGGGAGAGCCCTGTTTGCTGGTCGAGGCCCAGGAAGTGGCAAAGCTGTGAATTACAGTCGGAGAGAGAGGTCTGTTTGGATGCACATGCTATCTCCCTGTCAGGTTTGCACTGAGAGAATGCTTTTGAAAGGGAAAAGGAGGCTGTGATGCTCCAGCATAGCTATGGTGGATTAAAGGCCCTTGGGCATGTTTTAGCCATTGAGCCCCTTTGTATCTGGCCCCTCAAAGCGCCCCTCCTAGGTGTGCTAGGAATAGCCTTTGCTGTCCCCTTAGCATGCTGCGAAGGTGCTAACTTTTTTTGCATGTTCACTGCCGTGCACCAGCATTTCATTTGCAGAGTCCACCTCCTTGCAAATCCTCATTTTTCTCCACCTTTGGAGCATGATGGAGGAGAACAGGAACAGAACTCTTCTATGGACAAACCTCTCCCATGTCACTGGAACTGTGCTGGTCGAAGTGCACCATCCGAAGAGGAGCCAGGGCCCAGTTGGTGGTGGTGGTGGTGGTGGTGATGCTGTCAACATAAGAGGAAACCCAGTGAGATGCTGAGGCCCCTCTTGATCTCTTCTGGACAAGATCTTGGTTGACTTGCTGCTGCCGTCTTTACTGAAAGAAGCTCGCCCGGCTGCTTTCTTCTGCTTTTCTTGTCTGTTCTCATGGATGTTGTACGTCGCGCCTCTTTCCCCGTCTAACCCTCTCCCCTGCTCCATCTCTTTATGCATGGGTAAAAAAAGTACACCCACCCACCCCCAGGCCCTCTGTGCTGAAAGCAAGGGACTACTTTCTCTATGCACAGGACTTCAGCCGCTTTCTCACGCACGTGTGGTTTGTCCTTGTGGGGAACGCAGCCGTATTCTTTCCTCTGGCATGTGTAACGACCAGCTCATGTACTCTTAACGACCTCTGCTAACAAATTACTTCTCTACCACCCAAATGAGTCTGGTTCATCTGTCTCGAGTCACTTGAGAGAAAAGGGGTTCTACTTGCAGGTGAAGTTAAGGCAGAAGATGCCCGACTGAGATTACTAATAAAGGTGGGCTACTTGATCACCTGAAGTGGTATCATCTGTTCTGAGCTAGAGTAGACGCCAGCTGCGCATAGACGTAAATGGGCAAAGTCTGAAGAACTTGTGGGCATGGCAGGAGGGCATCTAGGTCCATGTTCTTTCGGCACGAGCAGTGCTGCATTGAGCCTAGTTCCCGACTCAAGTAGACTGCAGATGAAACAGCATTGGGTGGAAAGGGCTGCAGATGTACTCAAGTACAACAGCATTGTCTCACACTTGTGGTGAAGGCTTGTTCAAAGGGTAGCTTTGGAGAGCTTTCTGACAACCTTGCTATCAATGACAGTGGAAATTTACCAGTGTATTAAATGATCCAGGCTAGTGTCGGCTCCGATTCAGACTTTAACTGGCCATATCATATTTAGCTCTTATTTGCCCTGTTTGCCCTTGTCTTAACAGGAAAATGCACCTTGTATTTCTTTTGTATAAATAGCTAAGTTCAACGAAACCATCCTTATATGCAGAATAAATTGTGTCATGAAAACCTGGCAATGTAATTTTCCTAACTTGGTTCTAGTTGGGAACAGTGACAATTGTCTGTATAAAACCCACACTTTTAGGGTGCATGAGAGAGAGAGAGCCTTGTTCTTATATTGCTGCTCAAGTGTAAGGTGTTTTTTTAATTCAAAGAGGAAAGAACACTCTTTTTTCTATTTAATATGGATCAAATCTAATGCTATCCCCTGCAAGTAGGCTTTTATCAAAAGAAAAAAAAACGAGGAAAGTTGTTCAGAGCTGTTGTGTGTTGTGTATGTCATAATTTCTTGTGTTACTGCTATCTGTGTTATCCATGTTGGAGTCACATAGAAGGTCTTACTGTACAGCTGCTATTAACACACGTGTATACATTTGAAGGCACCAAAATCAGAGTAATACTTTGTCCTTCCTCTCACACAAATGATATGGCCAATGAAACCAAGAGGGTTACATTTATGTGTGATGTTTGTGGTCTCAGTCAAAGCACTGATCCAAGAGCCCCTCTCCTGGTTTCACATAGCAGAAAGCTCTTTTCTCTGCTGTATGATGTGTATATTTTCTCTACAATTGATCCTGCCCTGATGTAAATGCAAGGTGTTTGTTTTGCTACGGATACTCCTGGGGAGAGAAAAAAAGCAACTGTCCAAGAATACATTAAATGAAAGCATTCCATACCATCATCCCCAGCACAGTGGATGAAATCCCAGACTCTAACTTAATTGTAGTTATATGCAGCCATGATAGAGCAAAGAGGCATTTCCCTTGTGCAAATACTGCATTGTTAGAGAGCAAGAAGAGAGGGCTTGCAACGTGAAGAGCACAAATTTAATTTTTACATGCGTACCCAGGAAAGCTGCGTAGTGTGTGTGAGTTCCAGGGCAACTTAATGATCTCATGAAGTTATATATGGCAATCTTTATAGCTACCTGTGTCCCCATAAAAATGATTGATGCTTAGACATAATTTATGTGATAAGCTTAATTGTGGAAATGCTTGGGGGTGTGTGTGGAAATCCCACCCAGAATGGGATCTTTGTGGTATGTGGACTCTTTGCCATGTCATCTTCATAAATTGCTCCTAACGCATTTTTGGATGGGAAGTGCATTTACAAAAAAATTACAAAAAACAAGCTGTCACTTATGGGGAGGGCCACAGTTTCAAGCTGTCCCATGCAATCTGGGGTGCTTGATGTCATGCTTTGACAGCACAAGAAGAAATACTTGATGCAATAAACACCAGAGGAAGCTCTTGGAGAAGAGCAGAAAGGAAAAAAAATACCCTATAAGCTGCCAGTATAAAAGACTGGGTCCAACACTGAAGAAGCTTGTCTATTCCAAAGCATCTATTACTGTGCAGTTTGCCATTAGGAAAGAGGGAGTGAGGCCGTTATCTTGCCAGTGACCTTTTTCAATTAGAGGGGCTTTTCCAGAAGCCTCTTGTCTTCATCTCCTAACTTTGGAGGTTAAACAAGTATGTTGCACGAGAATTGGTGGAGCACAGGCAGTGTCTGCATAAGCTGACTTTTCCTTTGGACAGTGTTCATTCCTGCCCCACTCTTAAGTAAATAATTTCTGCACAACACATCGAATGCAAACACATCATCTCTTGGACCTCTCTTTAGATCATATTTAGCCTTGCTGTGGTACAAATGGGGAAAAGGATCTGAAGCTCA